GGTTATGGTGCATTTTGTATTACATTATTTATGTTAGGGAGGGGAAGAACCTTAATTATTAGTTCTGTAAGTTTTCTTATGCTTGGTAATTTTTTTGTATTTGGTTTTATCATTTTTAGTCTAAGTATGTTTTTGTTTTCATGGATGCACCTTCTTCTTTTGAAGTGTGCCACTGTTTCAAAAGTGTATATATCCAAATAAATAAATAAATAATAAATAATAATAATAATATATACCTTTCAGCGTGGGAAGAAGTGGTGTTGGTGTCACCGCAGCGAACTTCACATGTTGCGACCTCCTACTGCTTGGATAGGCTGATTAAGTCCTGAATTGAACTAACATTTTAAAGTAAGTCCAGAATCAGACCAATGCTTTAACCCAATCAACCCTACGTATTTATATATGATTTTGAATTTTTTTCAGTGTCAGAAATATGGTTAAATATAATTTTTTCTGAAGGAATAATACAATAATGATGATACCAATTGAAAGATAATAAAAAAATGCTTCTAAATAATTTAGTATTGTGAAATTATGAAAAAATAAATAAATTAATTAATTTCCAATTATTGATTTCATATTTATAAATATTTTTTGATGAATAATTTTAAAAATAAATTATTGAAGCCTGAGTCAGTCATCTCCACATCAGCACAAATTATTCCTTTACAAAATAAATCTAAATTTGAATTTATTGACGAAGAACTTTGGAAGATAAAAATAATATATTTTACATCGAAGGGTCCCCTAGGCGCCTCGCCGCGTTTAGTCACCCATTCCCCACTACGCACTGTACCGTGAATAGCCTAACCTACCTCGCGAGGTAAAATTAATAATTTTCTGCCTAGCCGTCCAAGGTCCTGCGAAAATTGCATCTTGTATATTTCAAAAATCCAGATGATTTCAAAATAAATTATGAAAAAATACGAAAAATTAAGATGATATAGGACGATTTTGGTATCAAAATTTTCCTTATTTTCTCATCTGTCTCAACGTGTAGAGGGCGCAGGTCACCGAAAAACAGAAAGTTGAAAAGTTCAATGTTCAGGGTTCGTTTTCATTTTTGTAAACACACAAGATGGCGTCAATCATAATTGATAGCACATGCTTTGCTTTCAGCCACAAAAAATCAATTTTACGTGGAAATATGTCGATATAATTACCAAATCTGGTACATTATGTATTTTGAAAATATATTTATAGTATGAAAGTGTCAGAATAGTTATTTTCTGAAAATAAAGTGTGTTTTTAGGTGATTTTATCCATCACCAGTATTGACGCCGACGCCTCGATCAAGGCGATCATGTTACAAAAACAACCATCAAATTACAAATTGCTAATTAGAAATTAATTATAAATGGACGAAATATTTTCTATAAACGTTTTTTTATATTTTCTCACATATTTTTTGAACTTACATGCACACTATACCGTGCATACTATTTTTAATTAATTATAACTATAATAGTATAATTACATAATTAATTATGTATGTTGACCTTCTGTGACCTAACACATCATGCACTAATTGTGGTGACTGGGTTAAGTCAAAATAAAATGATACTTTTTAAGTTGCTGATTATTGCAGTGTTTTGTATGTTTAATAAATGAGTGGTAATAAAATATTTAATTTTTGGTTTATAAATATTAAAAATGACGGTTTAAAATATTAGTATAAGCCCGTCCTCTGGAAGTACTATCTAAAGAAGGAAGCATAGAAATGGAGCAGCTTTATCAATTTGAGCCACAAGAAAGCGGAATTGAAGAAGAAAGAATTAAAGACCAGACTTTGTTAGAAAAACAAAATTGATTGGGCAAAGCCAAAATATCTCTATATTTGGATCAGTGTTTTAATTTTGATTTGGCTCATGCCACAGGTTATTATGGTCTTACCCACCCTACTTTTTAGAAGGAGCTTCAAATTCGGTAATTTATGTTTATAGTTTTCTGCAAATTTTAATTCTTAACACCATAAACGGGAGAATAGACACTAAATAACACTAAACGAAATGGTAACGCTGATGGTCTTAGAAGACTTAGTTCTGCCAACTGAGGTTATAGATGCAGTGCCTCTGCCCTGATTTTGACCCAAAATGTTGTTGTCATGCATATTAAAGAAATGAAATAAAGATAAGTATTGTAAATTAGGAAACAGATTACATTGTATGGATTCAAATGGAAGGATTTAAAATAATTATTTACACAGTAAACAAAATATAATATGAAACAAACCTACATAAACAACTAGTTGTTAAATTTGAAGAATGTTCATAGCTTTTCCATATGTTGTTTTTCTTAATTTTTAAATAAACAGGACACCAGGTTTAAGCAAAGCAGATTTCTTATTATCTGAGACAGTATCTCTTGAGAACTGGTTGCACTTTTTGACAAGTTACCTTTCTAAGTTGACAGTCCCACTGACTTTACACATCACTGTCTATGGTAAAATCTGAAGAAAAAAAAATTTCTATAAAAAATTAATTAAAACATTTATTTTTCGCTTAAAAGCATCAATTAAATTGTAAATTTAGCAATTAAAATTTACAGATCTTCTTGCTTTGAAAGTTCTGTAGTTGATTTCCAGCTAATTTAAACACTATTATAAGATTATAGAAATGATATTATCGATGCTTTAGTAAATTAGTAAGGAAATTTTTGTCTTGTTTCAAGCAACCAAATTACTTAAATGTACAAAGTAAGCAATTTGAATATTAAATTTAATTTGTAGCTTTAAAACCTACGAGATATTAAATATTTATTTTCTTTGTTTATTATTAAATTGGTACTTTACTCTTGATGAAACTTTATTAATTGAAAAAACCTGATATTTATTTAGGTAAGTGTAGTGTTTTTGTACTCTTTCAATCAGTGGTAGGAGCCAGCAAGTCTGCTCGGTTCACAAATTTTCACGCAACCTCAGTCCTCGTCGTATAGTGGAGGTTTGAATTTTATTATGTGATTTATACTTTAATCTATAAAAAATGAAACCATGACGGTAGGCCTAGAGTACTGGTAGGCGATTTTTTAATTTCCAAAATAAACTGCAATTTGCTGATTGCCTAGGCCTAGTGTAGGCTAGATAGGACCAGACCATTTGACAGCACTACACCCGAAACCCTGGCTACTCTATATTTAAAATTCTTGGCCCTTTCCATTTACTGTACGGGTGAATTTTAGATATGTTCTACGTGGCACTACGGAGACACAACTATGTGTACTTCCCCAGCTCAGTCTCGGCTAGTGCCCTGCTATGGCCCTGGTCCGGGGGGGGGGGGGCTATACCTCAATTGACAAGCGTATATAATCAAACTACGGTATAGGTAGACGAAGACGAACCACATAGGCTGGCTAGGTAATACATGTAGATAAAATATTACAGAAAATGTAAGCTATCTTTCATGAATTCAAACTAATCACAAGTTGCTTTTATGTGTATTAAACCACACATTCAAATCACTGTGTTTACTTGTATGTTTTGTTATATTTTACGTATATCCATACGATATGTCATATGAGAATACGAGATGAATTTAAAACAAATAGCACGAAAGTCGCTAAGTGTATGCTACGGAATTTAGATCGTTCCTCATTATTTCGAGATCAACTTTTTTGTATACAGTACTTGCTCATAGGATCTAGATGTTATTTTACTCTATTTCAAAAGAAAAAATGTGCATCTAAGCTGAATTTAAGGAAACAATTGCCCTTCAAACTTGGTCAATCTTCAGTCTTTTAATACAGCAGCATAGGCCTTGGCTTAAAGAGAGAGCGTGTGTGCATGCTGTTTCCATACTACAGTATTACTATAGTAGTGTACAATGGTTGTTCATTGGCCTCTGTTGTAGATTTTAAAAGTACAGTAATGTATTTAAATTTGTTTTGTTTAAAATCGGGAAAAAATAGGAATTCTGTTAAATATTGTAGTGTATACAGATTCATTAAATAATGAACTGTATACAGTTAGGGCTTGGGCTTACAGTAAGCCGACTTTGCCAAACTCGAATAATTTCTAAGTCAATCTTAATTCTTATTTTACATATTAAACTGTTGTTTCCAATTACAGTAATTAACTATCTGTAAGTCGAATTATCAAAGTCTAAACAATTTTTCAATGCTATTTCGGGTTTGACTTAGGCAAGTTCAACTGTTAAATATTAAATAAATATTAATCTTGACGCTATTCCATCCGGAATAAAAAAGAAATGTTGTGGGGTCAAATCAAAATCTTATCACAGTTAATATATATTGATGACGATTAGCAACTAATTTTTAATAACGCATTCTATCATTTTATCCCGATGCTGCCTCTCTTTGTGTTTCAGCTAGAGTCTTGAAATAGAATCAACAGCGCACCGTCTTTCAGATGAGACGTTTAAGCCATTGGTCCCGTGTGCAATATGGCCCATGTGCATGTTAAAGAATGCAGTACACTCTTCGGTTGGGGATTACTGCCCAATTCACCACCAGAAGGATCCCACTGGAGACAAGTCTTCGGAATTAGTGGGTTATCCTTCGTGTGATTCACATATCATATGCCATTGCCTTATTGCAGTATAATAACTGACTTGTGTATATCTATTTTACAGGTGATTTCATTGCTAGATATGGCTTCAAGATGATTTTGAGATTCACCTGATAATAATACTGTATGATAGAAATTATTTCAACAATTTTATTTTTTAATATTTTACAGATATGAAAGATACAAGAAACAACATTCAACCATTATATTATATAATGATTAAAAATGAAGTCATCGCTCTATAACGCCATCTATTGTGAACCATTTGCAAGAAGCCGAGATGCTTTTCAGATTTATTTTAACGTAATCAATTAGAAACATGACAGTAATGTATGCCGGCAAAGAATGGTACAGAGATGAGAAGACTGGAGGTAAGTGGGTTGGTTATTTACTCAAAGATCTTATAACAAAGTAGCGCTCTCACCTGTTTGTAATCGTAATGTAAAACTGTACCAGAAAAACTGAATTTTTATACAGAGGTCATTACAAAAACCTTATTCATACATGTCCACTGAAATTTCATGGACAATTTGTTAAATACAAAATGCGAATTTTGCTTACTAAATCGAATGGTTCATGTGAGTTCATTACAAGATGAGGGCGCTGTATTACAGTTGTAATGAAGGCCACAGCATTTCCGTTCCAACATCCAAACACCATCAAACGAAGCAATAAATCTTGGAATACAAGAAGACAGAAAAGGGCAATTCATACAACAAATTTGCAACTGTTTCCTTTTAATTTGTGCTCAACATTTTTACATATATAATTACATGAGGAGTGCTAACAAAAGTGGAAAGAAAAGTAATAAAACCTACGCAAAAGAATAAATATGAACAGTCCATCTTTTAATATGAAAACAAATCATATACAAGGGCATCTTTAATATTACTGTATTATGTATTTAAATATCAGAAATCCTACCAGCACAGCCAGTATAAATACTTGTACAGGGAGTCAGTAAACATCTATAACGGTGGCCAGTAAACGCCTGCAATGGTGGCAGGCAATATTACTTTCACCTATGCAAGTGGAATCAATTTCAGGTAGCCTGCACACCCTTGCAAATGTGGTTAATAACTACCTGTACCCAAAACAGGAGGGAAATTTTTATTCATACCATTACTGAGAGAGTACATTACCATTATCATAAAACACCTCCTCTACAAGTATACTAACAAAGACCCAATTAAGTAAATTTATGAAGTTAACAAGCAACAATATCACCTCCCTGATTATGCTTGTTCGCTAACATGTGTATCAGGGTGACCTAACCATCGCAAACTACGATAGTAAAAGAGAAAAAAACATTAACCATGATGCCCTGCAGTGTTTTAGCAATAAGCATTTGATCAGATTTTTCTTTGTATTATGCATAGAAATTAATCAACTAAATTTTTTTTTTTTTATTCATACTCAAGCCTGTTTGGCCTGTTTTTTTTACTCAGTGTTCCAATTATTACACTATTGTTATCAACACACAAATGATATTTCCCAAACCATCATTGACAAAACTGTATATAAAATCACATTTACCATATTGCATGCAAACACATACCTGTACTGTAAATAACTATGGTTATGTAGAAACAGGTATGCATAAATAACTCCAACATTTTATTGTGAAATTTTATCCTGTGTACAAATAATGCAATTAATTGCATATGTATACCTTATTGATATGCAAATTTACATATATATATTTATACTGTATTGATATGCAAATTTGCACATCCAATGAAAAACATCTATTCATAATTGCACATAACAATAATATTTATTCAAATACAGTAACAAGTATTCACCAATGGCAACACTGCATGCAAAATAAATGCCACTGACAAACCACATCACCATTACTGTTATGTATATGCTAGGTAATATGTTTAATGCATAATTAATATGTAAATTTTAATGCATTTACATTACAGGTGTTAAATATGCATGCTCAGCAATCATGGAATTGACTAAGGGTTGGACAAGTTAAAAAATCCCCATCCCATATAAAAACAAAAAAGGTAACCCCTGCTTTCTTTGTGGCTAGACAATGTGTTTTGGTTAATGATTACTTTAAATTTATATCAGCAGTTTACACCTATCTGATCAAGTCAATACGAACACCATTGGCATGTCGTACTTTTTAAAACTTTTTTTTCACACAACATCAAACTCTACTTTTATCACAACAATTGGCCACAAACAATCCTGATTTGCCTCTTCTACAAAGAGATGCTACATTGTTATAACTAGTAATAGCCTATATACAAATGTCTCATTTACTCACAATAATTTTTTCCCATGGTTACAAAAATTTGATTAAAACCATTCAAGGTTTGATTTGATATCTGCTTCGGCAACAAACTAACTCACACAATGGTTATTTATAGATGCAAACACGTAAACCACCTGTTTATCTCACAATGCATATAATTGTAAATGATCCTAAACAAATCCTTGACTGATACAGGGCCACAACACCCAATCACACGCATTTTTGAGGATTACTTTTGTAGAACTTTATAAAAATGTAAACACTAGAAAGGACCAACACTATATCTATTTATTCGTAACTCCTAGATCACCAAGTAATCAACTCTACAATGTTCTGAGCGTCATAATTTGATCGTGATCTAATTTACATAATAACTAATGTAACCCGTGGTGGTATGAAAATTACACGCTACTGTCTCAGTACAAAAACGAACGATTGATACAGTTGCTGATGTTTACACTAATATTCAAGAAGGATCTTCCACTTCTTATTACTGGTAATAATTAAAAAGAATAAACATCAATCTCATACCAAGTTGAATGAAATAAAAATGAAAAGAAATTCAATTGGAATTTTCACATTACAATATTCATTCATAGCTATAATAATAATAATAATAATGATATAGCTAAGATGTATGTATTAATAATGTATAAACTGATTATGCCCACAGGAGATTATAATATTTTACTATTAATATTTTTATTTTTATTTTAATATTTCAGCTCTGTTCAGATTATCAACTTTTCTTTGAAAAAAAACTTTGTATGCCCATATATAGTCAAGATGTGCCTATATATTGTCATGATGTAATGTCATCATGACCGTATTCAGGCACATCACATAGTCTGAACAGGGCTTTATCAAGGTTAACTGAAGACACCACATATCATTCATATTAGAAATTCTACAAATACAGTAATTAATAAATTTATGAAAATATGTCTATGCACATTATCACTTCTCTACTACCTTGGAATACCTTAATAATGTTGAGTTTACTGGTTTTACAAGATAATGGCACAATAATCCTTTAAATGATATTAATGATTAATATGAAAAACCCAACACTAAATGAGTTTAAATCCAATCATAAAAATAGCTTCGATATTCTAATTAATCTGTAATTTCAATATAATTGCTATTATAAAACATAGGTTATACAGTCTTCTGTAGACTGCTACTGGTCAAATCTCATTCAAAAGTACACATCATAAAAGTTACATAATCCATTCAAATAAAAAAAAAACTTCAAAATGCGAACACCATTAATAAAACATACAATTATTGCTATAAATGATTCTAACAAAAAACTTGAAAAAAAACAACATAATTTATATTATTTACCATTCAATTTCTGGACAAACTGGAGGAAACAAATGAAACACACTCACGCACAAACATATTAGAATCGGAGTGATTACGCTTGTTTAGCTCAATCTAACCAAGTTCCCGTTTCCGCTGAAAGAACGACACAATAAGTATAAACGTGGAGTTTTCACGTAAAGTACCTCATTTCATACATGCAAGTTTCATGTGAAATCAATAACACACACGATAAACATATCACTCAATTTCAAATGGAAAACAGAATAGGTTTAACTTAAAACACACGTAGGTCGACAATAACTCATTCCTCAACTTGTGTTTGAGACGCCAGATTTCTTCAAGTCATCCTCAAAATGTAAACAGTCTTTAAAAATAAAAACCTTTAAAGAACGATGAACTACGCGATAGCAACGCTGGAATAAGATACGCCCTTCATGACTGACATATCATTCAACATAATGCACCATTCATCTTTTGAGGAAATTTAGAGCAAAGGGGCACTTTATTGATTCACATTTTTCAACAATTGTTAGTGAACTCCCTTAATGCTGCCCTTGTTGCGTAATAACACACTTTTTTTATGTTTTTTGTCCAGTATCTTTCATTGCGACTCAATCTCATCCACAGCAGCGATCTTAAAGAGCAGTTTCAGCACTATTCACGGTGGCGTTCGGGGCATTATCAGCATCGTGCTTAATACTTCCACTCTCGTACTTGTTCTGATTCGACATGAATTCGTGGATTGAGTTATTAAGACTTTTGCGTTCTATTGTCCTAAGGCCATCTTGGAATGCATGAACTACCCTTATCTGTAAACAAAAAGACAATCATGATTTAAGTTCAATATCATCATCAACCATTTTTGCTACTGCTGGCTAACGGCATATTGTCCCTATACATGCAAATCTGTCCTGGGTCACACATATCAAATTTCTACCAATATGAAACTTCTAAATCCTTTTTAGTCTTCCTCTTTCTCTTGTTGATTTTATTTTTTAGAGCATATTATTCTATGCAAAGGTTTTGGTTTACCATAGGACACAGTTAGCCTTATAAGCTGGCTTTTGCAGATTTGTTTAAAGTAAAAATATACAGTACTGGTATTTGTAGGAGTGAAAAATATCTTGCCAAGTTAAAAATTGTAACTAAATACTAAACGACAACCACTAAGTACTAAACGACAACCAATCAGAGATGAACAACTCTATTGGTCTTTGTATTTTTGCATTTGTGTGCATGTTGGTGCGTGTGTGTTTTTGTATGTGTTTTGTATGACATTTTTTTCCTTATTCAATATATTACAGTTGGCATTTTTATTGTATTGTTTTTTGCTTACTTTGGACACCTTGATTGACAAGCTCTTTAGAGCTTTTTTTTTTGTTGTCCTTTCATCATTGTATTTTAATTTTTTATTTTTTATTTTCATTTTTAATTTCATTTTTTTTTTTCTAATTACGTAAAAATTTTTTTTTTTTAAATTTATTTATTTTCCTTTTTTTTGTCTATTATTTATTTTCATTTTTTTTGTCTATTTTTTATTGTTGATTACAGTAATTAATGAATAAATGAATGAATAAATGTTTATATTTTTACAGCCATAACAGACCAAGATGATAAGAACATTGGAAAACAAACCTGCTGCTGCAATCGTGTGATTCCTCTCATCCAGAGAATCTGACCACGTCTCAATTCGGCACGCGACTCTGACCGGCTGACATCTACTTGGTCACCTACTTCTGTTGTTGTAATACGGATACCGGTGTCGGCCGATCGGCCAATAGCCAGCAACCTAGGCAGCTTTTTAGTAGGTATGGAACAGATAAGTTGTTGCCAGAGCAGCGTGCCAAGACCTAATGCGATACACCACAGCCACTGAACAATATCCAAGGCCTTACAGCTGAAAATTATGTCTCCAAAACAAACAAGTAGGATCTAAAATAAAAAATAAATTAAAGAAACATTATTATCCAGTTGTGTATCCAGGATTTTGAAAAGGTGGGTGCTGAATATACATTTACTGACTTTTACGCAATCTGCAAAACTAGACACGACACGTTGCAAGCCAAATATTTCCATATTTATTTAATTGTATAATACCAACTATTAGGTGTTTAATATAAAAAAAAAATTTAATTTTCAATGAGAAAAAAGAAGATTTTTAAACAATTTGTGGGTGTCGCACCTGGGAAATGTCAAAAACTATAAACAATTTTTTTCACTATTTTAAATGTTATCTAAATAATAATTGACATTGTGGTTGGTTCACATTATAATGCTTACCTGAGCAACTACTGTTGATGCAATAACTCCAATGAAGATATAGTTATCTAAAATTCCAGAGATAACATTACGTTCACCATGAACTTTTCTTGAGTTAATTTCATTGAAAATTTGCATAAGAACGAAAGTGTTAAAAATAATCGTAAAATGCTGTGTGGGTTGACCATGGTTATGTGGGTCTCGACCATTGTCAATGTCAAATAGTTTTTCACCTGAAATTAAAAAAATACAGTATGGTTCAGTAAAGATGAATTTTTTTTATTCGCTGCCTGCCAAAAATTTTTTTCAGGTCATTTTAGACAGTAGGTTGTATCTGCGATAGTATATTTGGTTATTTTATATGTTTAATTTTGGGAAAAGGGGTAGTTAAGAAAGTTTGGTTATTTTTTCTCATTGTATTGTTTGTATTTACAGAGCTTATGATTACAATATGTTTTATATCTATCCTGCATGAGGCTATATCTCGCTGTTTGTCTGAAAATTTAAAGAAAAAGATTATGTGTTTCAATGCAAGAACTTTTTAGATAGTGTATCTTTAAATTACCTGCAAACAGAAGAGTTATAATGACAATGAACTGGTATACAAAATGGCCTAGAATGTTTTTCATCATTGTGCGTGATATGAGAGGCTTGGTTCGGCCATATGGCTTCCTAGTAAGCAGTGCAGGTGTCGGTGGTTCCGTGGCTAAGGCTAATGACGCCAATGAGTCCATAATTAGATTAACCCACAGCATCTGAATAGCTTTTAGAGGACTGTCCTGTAGAAAACAAACAACATGATGATTAATAAACAACAATCAAACTGACAAACCCTCAGCATTTAGAGAAGGACATCATGGATACCCAGCATAAAACAAAGTGAGGATGATCTAGAAGTATACAGCCAATCATGTTTAGTTTAAGGAATTGGCCTAGGTCATTATTTAGTACAAAATTAGTAAATGTTGAACTGGCAAGATTAGAACTACAATTCAAATTGTTTTTGAGATGCTGTTTATTTGGTAATCATCAAATCTGTGTAAATGTTATAGACAGGTAAACTATCTATCAGTACTGTATATACAAAATAGTATCGTCTTTCTGTCTCCCTACCTACTGTAAATAAGAACCTAACTCTCACGCGAACTACAGACACAATCACTAATCCCAAACTAGTAGTGGTCAGGTGACATTTGGTATAACACACAGGAAGAATAGAGAACTTTCGATTCGTTTGACAATGCGACGCTAAAACGGAATCACTCATGCGTGACCATCCTACCGAGCGTCCTACATTCTCTACTTGCGCAGATTTGGCCAAATTGCGTTCTAGAATCCATGTGACAAGGGGGACTTAACGTCCTCGCATGCACAGATGACTTTTAGAGACATCATTACGTTCTACGTCTTACCATCGTGTTATGGTTTTCGTACAGTAGTTTCCAAGAGTAACATATTTACTGTGAGACTCATGGATTAAGTGATTAATAATAATGCTTGTTTTGATACTGTAGGTCTTTATTTTTGTCAATGTTTTTTGCACTTTTATTAAGCTTTGTATAAATATTGTTTTATATTTCTGTATTTTTACATTATTGATTGTATTGTAAGCTCTTCATTTCAATCTTGAATTGTATTTTGAGCCTTTTTATATTGGAATAAATAAAAAATAAATAAAAATTTAAAAAATTAAAAATGGTTATAGAGCACATATTGTGCAGATGCCAAACGTATGTATTGTAACTAACTACCTACTTTTCCAACTAACAACCTACCCACTTCTCTACTTACTACCTACGAACTATCTACCTACTGTACATAGCTGAATATCTTCAATATGTATCAGGTGTTTTTTTCCTAGTTTATTAGCCAGGAAAATTTGGATTGGCCCTTGAGGACTAGCAATACATCACCAGGAGACATTTTCCAAAGTGTACACGAGTCATTTTGTACACAAGACTTATGTTTTGAAAACAGTCATGCTGAAAGTCATGAAAATGTGAACATACTATGCTCTACATGATGTGATTGGCCCAGAATGCAGTGGGGGAGGGTTGGGTGTCACCACCACACCAAGGTCGAAGAAACAAGCAAAAGACTTACACCAATGGACATAGCACTGACGACTGTGACGGTAATGGCTGTTAAATTGACCGTCAGCTGAAACTGAAGGAACTTGGCAATACTGTCATACACGTTCCTTCCCCACATCACCGCCTTTACGATACTTGTGAAATTATCGTCCGTTAGAATAATGTCGGAGGCTTCCTTGGCAACGTCTGTACCAGCAATACCCTGGAATAACAGGTAATAAAAAAGGTTAATAGTAAGGGTAACAAGAAGAAGTGGATAAATAAGAAAAACCCTCTAGTCAGCAAAGGGCTCCAACTGTTGTACCCTAGGCTTACAAGCCAAATTGTTAATGTCTGGTCTAATAAAAATTGTATTCCCTTCACTTTTTATATTACATTTCTAAATTACCCACCATTAGCAGGAAACACTCATAATGTGGTTCACATAGACATCTAAAAAAAATAAAAGCTACCTTGTGATGTTTCTTATAGCACAACAGCCTCATTTGTGATACAAAATAGTAAGTATTGTATATAAATTTGCTATAGCTCATAAACTCGACATAAAGTCTCAATGCGCTGTTTGTGAAACCAAATTAAAAAGTTGAAAAAAATAAAAAAATTTCAAAAAGAGTAGGATATATACAGTATGATTTGTTTGTTTGAATGCTTTGACCTTTGACTAGTTATTCCATTCATGAATCCTTAAGATGCCTCAACACAAGTTTGGAACAGTACATCCAAATGTTACAATACGAACACATCCATGAGCATATACTATCTGAATGAACTTACCATAGCAAATCCAACATCTGCCTTTTTCAAAGCAGGGGCATCGTTTGTTCCATCTCCAGTGACGGCCACCACCTCTCTGTTTGGATTCAATTTGCTGTCTATGATCCCCTTCACCAGGGTGTGTTTATCAGTAGGGGAGGAGCGGGCTAGTACCCTCAGCTTAGGCCAGATCTTATCAAGCAGCTGTTGTTGAACCTGTTGACAAAAAAGTTATAAATACTGTACACTTTTGCAATTCTTTATCTTATTATTTGAAAGGTTCAAAAAGGCACTGGTGTAGCATTGCACATGTTAATTTGAAGATGAGTGCATTGGATTGGATTTAGTTAGTTTAACTACCAAGAAAAAGCAACAAAACTCTGAAGACTTATTTACAATGTGGTCCTTTTGGCAGTGAATTAGGCAGTACACTCTTATCTCACTGAAATTCTAAATATCTATTTCCCCAACAGCAAATAAGAGTCTTCTCACTGTCCCCACCTTCAAATTGAAAACATGGCCAACGAACATTTGCTTTTTCTGCCTCGTTTCTGTGGAACGACTTACCATTGTCTGTCAAAAACTAACCCTCCTTTAAACTCTATTTAAAAACTCGTCTATTTCAATCCATCTGTTCCCATGTTCATATCTACATAGTCTTTTTACATTTCTACCTCTACTACTTTATTTAATTCATGCTCTTATTTTACTTTCGTGCCTTGAAATTGTTGCATAACGAATGTTTGTTTATTATTATTACAGTATTATTATCAACCCCACTCATCAGGAAACAGTCCCTACTCCACTGCATTTTTAATGTGCAGATGGGCCATATTGCACACAGGACCAATGGCTTAAACATCTCTGCTAAAAATGGTACCCTTTCTTACACTTATATTGCAGCCTTCCAGCTCACACACAGTGGCTACCACCATTTTAGCTGATTGCGCTACATTGCGAGTGATATTGCTGTGCATCACTTCTGGTCACTGGGTCCAGATATCAGGACGATAAATATTCTTAAATGAAGGTATACAAATTAGAAGAAATGTTTACTACAAATATAAACAATTAAGTGATTAAACTGTACTTTGCCACTTCTATCTCTGATTTTCTTGTTGAACTCTTTGCCATCCAAGACCAAGAACTCATCGCCTGGTTTGAGAATGCCGCATTTGGTAGCGATGGAACGAGCTGTGTTGATGTTATCACCTGTTACCATGCGAACAGTGATACCAGCCTGCTGACACTGCAATATGGCATGTGGTACCTAGGTACAAAAAAGAGTGTTATCTTATATTTATTACATTACAATCCATGCAAGTAACAGATGTACCATCATTGAGTTTAGATCGCAATTAACTATGCCAGTGCAACTCATCCTTTAATGATGCTAACATCTCAAGTTCTGGAAGTTCCATAGAACTTGAGAACTCTGCAAAAAGACCTTTATCTTTGTCCTGGTAAGGTCAACAATTCTTCTTACCTCCGGTCTGACAGGATCCTCAATTCCAGTTATGGCTAGGAAAGTCAAAGCCTGCACAATGCTTGCCTCATCCTCCCAGTCTGGGTTCTCCTTTGGACCAAAATCACGGTAGGCCAGACTAAGCGTTCTCAAACCATCTGAAGCCATAGGTTCGATTACATCATTCTGGATCTTGTTCTTTTGGTCAGGGGAGAATGGTTGAGGATTTCCTTCATCATCCAGGATTTGAACACATCTATTTTTAATTGGGCAGTAACATTTAAAAGCTATGAGTTCAATCATAGTATTCATGGACATGATATACAATACATTTTAAACAAGATAATCTGACATTACGAACTCTCAACCTAATTTTTGATATCTATGTACTGAAAAAATAATGTCAATCCGCTTGAATTGACTCGGCCTAGCCAATCCAGGCCGAAGTGATCTGCTCGCGTTGGCTATGTGTGTTGCAGCTGGAAAATATATAAATAACATTCTAAAATCTGCATCTTATTTCCGATCAGCACCAAAATTCAAGGAAGATCGCGACACATGAAACATTGTCAATGTGTGAAAAGTAAATCGGTCCAGTAGTTTTTGAGTTATACGCCCGGAAAGACGCACACCACACACAGACTGAGAGACAGACGCATGCTAATTGCAATACACTTTTCCCCTACTTCGGAGAAAAATAAACTTACTTCCTCATGATGACCTCCGAAGCACCCTTAGTCAAGAGACGATATCCACCGTCTTCTAATGGGATTACCGTGCTCATGGACTTTCTCGAGGAGTTGAATGTGTATACATGAATAAACCGCTCAGGTGGCCAACGATCACGAACCATCTGATAGTCATCATCCATTTCTAAGACGAAACCTAAAAGGGCGCATTCTGTCTTGTTACCTACTTGGCGTGGAAGTTGCCCCTCGACCTCAGCTGGCTACGAAAAAAAAAAAAAATTAATTATTATTATTTTAATAATAATAATAAAGTGCACATGAACCAGTTGTGTACACTGGGCCTAAAGGTTTACAGTCCTTATCCGAGAAGACTTGTTTAATCTCCAGAACCATAGGTGAGCATGCCATTCGAACCAGCACCAATATTATGACTGTACTGTAGATTGCGGCCCTGCCTTATTTGCTAGGCCATTTGACTCGCCAAGTGGACAAATCGTTTCAGTGGGTGAGGTACCTAAAAGACCCATTAAATCAATACACTAAATTATCAAACCAAATTATAATAATTGTCAATCAATAATACTCAATAAAAAGTCAATCAATATTAATCAATAAATCATTACATACCAATATCCTGGAAGTATATCCACTATTGATGGAGATTGATTGAATCAAAGTTTGGTACACATTTTCTGGTATACTTCCACTGGCTGGAGTAGACTTATGATGAGTGCCACATATATAACTCTGGACCACTGTCATTCTGTTGGTGGTCAGCGTGCCGGTCTTGTCCGAACAGATGGCTGTAGCATTTCCCATCGTCTCGCAAGCATCCAGATGTCTTACCAAGTTGTTATCATACATCATTTTCTGTCAATCAATCAATAAATCAGTCAACCAATCAATAATCGATTCTAAAAATACCAATTTATTTTCACATTAATTTTTTTATACTATATTATTTTCATAATAATTATCTATCTAATTATTATTATAATTATGTCTGCAAAAATGTGTTTGAACATTCAAGGTACCCCAATTTTACTCCTGGTTAGAGAAATAAAGTGCCTTGTGAAAGCGAATTGAACAGCGAGGGATTGATTAATTAATGTTGAGAAGCAGAATCGAAAATGCTGAGCCAAATCACTTCTATAGTGTATTTCTGTGCTATGCACTTACCTTAACAGAATATGCTAATGAAATGGTGACAGCAAGCGGGAGTCCCTCTGGGACGGCCACAACTAAGACAGTCACGCCAAGTATAAAACTGTCGACAAACTCCGCCCAGTAGTCATTTGACCACTTGTTCTTTTCTATACCAAATTCTACGATACACAACCGCACGATGAGGATCAGAATCGTCAACACAGCAACTGAACAGCCTAAAAAAAAAATAAAATATAATAATTATATTAATGAGCCTACTTCACTAAATGTGGAAAACATTTTTTGTAATGAATTTTGTGACATAATTGTGTCACATTTCTTTCTAAAATATTTATCTTTAGTTTAATAACAATAATTTCAAAAGTGTATCTTTTGTATGTTAACATTAATAATAGTAATAATAATACCCATAACAACAATACAGTAGCTACCATAAACCAGGAAAAATCTATCATTTCATCATGGTGATGATTTTAGAAAGAAAAAAAAAACCAACTGAAAAATTGTGTATAAGATGAAATGCTAAATCAACAAGAATTCTTAACTAAAATTTATAAACGAGGAAAAATTTAGTAAATAAATTGTTTGCTGCCCTCTATTGGGATGTTTTTCCTCCTTTGAAGTCTACAGATATTTAAATTGACAAATAAGGACCCCTGCAGGAACTGATTATTGCTACACAAATTCAAAACCAATGTCTGTGCAGTTTTGAGTTTAATTGTTTAAATAACTCTGTGTAAAACACACACAAACATGTATTACATACATCAACTACATTACAATGATTCCTATGCTGCCACAACTTGGAAACCAAACATATTATCCTCTAAAATATATTCTTAATATAATCTGACAGTTGATGCACATTTTGCTAAAG